TGATTTTAATACATCATGTCTTTCACAATATAGAAGGAAGTGGCTGCCGGTCAGAGCCAATTTTAGAAAGCCACATTTTTGCAAAAGGAAGAGTCAACTTTCATCACAACAACGTTGCTGGCACAGGATGGGCATTGTCGGAAAACAATGTAGAGATGGCCCAGCAGGTGTCAGCAGAGAACCAACTTTCCCTACTCCACTGGTCCACACATGGAAGGAGCTGATGCTAGATCCAGCACTGGTGAGCTGGGACAGGCCTAGCAAGACTCTGCCACGGAATCCACAGCTGTCCCAATTCTTGTGGGCTAGGCAGATAACAGCCACTGACAGCCCTTCAGCTGTATCTGCAAAGTCTCATTGGCTCTAGCATCCTCAATGATTAGCAGTGATTACCTTCTGATTTGAGCTTGGGTTCCTCTCCTGCTCTCAAATCTATACTGCCACCTGGGAAACCCATCTCAATTCCCTTTGCTTTATTTTCTCAAAGAAGTATTCCTATGGGAATGACTTTCATCTTGTCTGCTGAACACCTGTGTTGTTTGGGCTATATGAGGTTTTTAAACTGACACTTCCTTCTCCTACCTTAACACTCAGATTCAATCATTTGGGCAACAGATGTAGTTTCTATAAAGTAAGCAAATCAAGAGATCAGGAGAGCACTGTTTACAACTACCAAATAATGGCCTGTGAAATGAAGCATCCATTTCTTTCTTAAATACTGCAGATGGGTCTCTCATACTTGCCTCTTAAGCTTCATTGCAAATAGCTTTGCAACAATGTTACATTGTACCATGTTGCAAGGGGTTCTTCTATCCTTGGTTTCTGAGGTCTGGGGCATTTTTAACTGATTTAAGGATGACATGGAAGAGTAGAGAAGCAGCTTTTTAGAATAGGAGCAAATTGTTGGATACTTACCGGAGATGTGTACACACCCCTATCTATAAGACTTTCAATGAGCTGAGCGGGAGGCAGGGAGACAAAACCAGAAAGGTGTGTGATACATTCCAGTAATGAGGGAGGGGAAGTACTTGAGAAACTCTTTCAGAGGACTTGGGCAAATGAGAACAGATCCAAAAGGTTGATAAGACCAGAGGGCTTAAAGTTCGTGGGCAGAACTATGGCCACTGAAAGGTGGGAGTCTGGCACACCTGGGAAATGAAGAAAAAAGAACAAGCACAGCAGAACTTGAGGTTCTGTCACTTCCTGCTCATAGCAAAGTCTCATGCTCAAGAATTCTGGAATAACTCTAAAATCTTCAAGAAGAAGAAAAAAGGTCCTACATAGAACAATCTAAGAAGGCTCGTGTGTGTGTGTGTGTGTGTGTGTGTGTGTGTGTGTGTGTGTGTGTGTTATCCCTAAGAGGTTCCTAAAGTCCTGAACTCCAGTATGGAGAAACCAAAAGGAACAGAAGTCCCACAACCCCCACTAAGTGGTAGAGCACTGGACCCAGTGTATAAATCTTCCAGTGGGAAGAATGATAGACACAGTATACAAAGATTCCTACCATGCTACAAATCTCTTCAAGGTTATAAACATCTGAATAACTGGTGTTTCCTTCTTTTTTCACTGTGAATACTTATTTCTCTGTCTGAAAAAAAACCCCACAAACAACAGTAGATACTATATTGGACATTGTATTTAAAGTTAACCGTGTGTGGGGGGAGGAATCCCATGTCTATGGAACAACTAATTTAAATATTTTTTTTTGGTTGCCCAAAGTCTATAAGGAAAAAAAAGAGATAAGTTGATGGCAAGTTGGACCCGTTTAAGCCTATCTAGAGCAACTTTGCTATGATAAACAAAACCCAACATTCACTCTCATATTCCTGCGTGTAGGACAAGACTTTTTCCTGGAGATTTAACCACTGATGTTCTGAACCACAAGGATGATGAGACCTACTTCATCATCACATAGGCCTCAGATTTCAGGTACCCCTCGCCATCCTATTTCCCACAAACCATGTTGTTAAGGAATCTCTGACCTTGTCCATTCCCATTACAGCGGAAATAGTCTTTGGCCGTTTTTATCCAAGAAAAAGAAAAGAAGAGAGGTGCAAGATTGCAGACAGCAGTTATAAATGATCAAAACCCAAAATCCCTCAGCCAATGGCGCATCTTCCCCAAACCATTGCTACATTTAGAGTTGGGTCCTGCGTAGTAGACCAATTAAACTTTAATTAGATTTAAAGTATAGTCCGGTCCTTTTCTTCCTTTGATGTTACCAGGCCCCCAGGGAGCCCTGGCCTGGGGCTGCGGCTCGTTCAGGGCGTCCCTGACCGGCTCAATAGTTCTGGGCCAGTTCATTTCACCACGGCCTGGAGCCGCTCGGAAAGCAAAGATTAAAGGGGAAAGTCGCAGCTGTATATTTAGATTTTCATTGCTAGAAAGGAATTGATTTCCGCGCATTTATTTTGGTAGTTGTAATACACAAGGGCGGATTTGCGTCACCCGAGCAACTTGCCGGTGGAGATAAAGTTGCACAAATATTGAAAGGGGAAGTGCTAGGAGTCATTATAGAGTTTTTCTCCGGAAGAAATAAGGATTTCTGTCGTATCCTAAAATACTAGGGCCGCTTCTATTTTGAGACCAATCTCGCAGGCACATCCGCTTATTTAGTCCAAGTTTGAACCCATCAAAAAACAGGAGATGACCTGGACTCCCGGCGAGCCCAGGGCTTCCGGCTGCTTTCTTGGTTCTGAGGGGTACACTGTAAGGAGAAGGGCAATCTGCGGGCCCAGAACCGGCTGAGGGGTCTGCTGGGGAGAGGCCTGGGCCTGGGCAAGGTTTGTAGGTGGCTCGGAGAGGCAGAATCACTCAGACGTCTTTTTTTCTTTTCTTTTTTGTCTTGGACTCCTGGAGCTCGGGGTAGGCCCGTGGTGGCGCTCAGGCGGCAGCCAGGAAACGCGTGCGCCCTGGGAGCGCAGAGGGGCGCGCACGGCGGGCGAAGTTGCTGCTTGCGATGCCGCCTTAGGCCTTTCAGCGAGAAAGAGACGGGTGCCACGGGGGTAGAATTTATCCGGGAACCGGCTCTGGAGGCTACGCCTTCCCGCTTCGATTTGGCACTCCCGACCTTGAAACCCAAATGAAGGGAACCTTGCTTGATCTACATTCCCCGCCCCCTCCACCCCCATTCACCCAAGGGAAGGTTAAACCGTGGAAAGGGTGGGAGGCGTGGGGACGCTTCTACCTAGAGTACAAGGTGCCACTTGCCTAGAAGCCCAAACGCTTAGAATATCCGCAGTGCCGAATTGCCAAAGCGAGCCATCAGAAAAGAGAGGAGAGGGCTCTGGCTCTCCCCGATATCTATTTGTTAAGCCACTTTCTCCCGGGCCGGGAGAAATGAGAGGACTTGTTCTCCCTACACCTGAACCCCTCAGCCAACGCCTCAGGGAGCTGTCTAGTCACTAGTTTAGCTCCAGCTGCACACACTTCCTGTCTCTTTCGTGCCCCTGTCCTCAGTTTACCACTTTCTCTCTCTCGAAATCGCAGCTTTGCCCCGGCTCCCAAAAGCTGAGAGCTAAGAACCTTTTATAATAACTGATCGAAGATGGGAGGAGACAGAAACAGGACAGGAGAGAGGGAGGGAACGTCACCGTGCTGGCTGATCAAAAGCAATTGGTTCGCTATGGATTGCCTCCTAGGAGCAAGTCAAAAGCTTTAACAAGCCAGCTTCTGCGAAGGGAATCTAGAGAGCATACTTCAGTCTTGAATTCGAGATGGGACAGCAAGTTCGCTTGCATTTTAGGGTTTGTTTGGAGTCTTAGTGGAGAAGGGAAATAAAAATGCCACAGAATCTCTGTTAGGAGACTCATCTTGTGAGAATCGAAAACAAAAGATTAGATGGTTTCATTATTGCCATTATTTTATTTTCTTCCTGAAAATGTGCAAGACCAGCTCATCTGGGTGGCCTGTGGTTTGTTTGGGAGAGGGGTGGGGAAATCCATTCGGACTATAATTTAAGAGAACGAATATTCTTAAAATAGAGACTGTTGATGCTGCAGAATGCCGCCCACCCCCTCCCCTCCGCGATGTCCATCCTGTGTTCCAAAGACCCAACGCGTATGGGGAAGACGCAGCTCCTCCAGCGAGGGCGACAGGCCCTAGGGGCTCCGGGGGAAGTTGAACTGAATTGAAAGTAGTATTTAACCCCGAGGAAACGTGCTGCAACACAACGGCCCCCACGTGACCCGAGGATGTGGCGGCGGAGGGTGGGTGGCATTTCCTACAAGGTGCAGCCGAATTGGGGACGCGATGGGGCCGCCACCCGCCTTAGTTTGTTTGAAACGTCACTCCTGCGAGCTGTCACCCGTGCGATCGGTCAAAATAAAGCTAATCTGCAGCCGCCCCTCCTCCTCTGCCTCCGTTCCCCGCGGATCTCCGCGGAGGCCCCCGGGCGGGATGGGGTGGGGTAGGATGCAACGGGTGGGGGGGGGGGGGTCCAGTATCCTTTGCAGAGGATACTGGTTTCTGGGGGCAGGAGGGTAAAGGCAGAGTAAAGGAGATCGGGCCGGGGTAAGCAGGTGGGGGATCTGGGAGCCCTCCACGGCGCTCAGCTTTCCAAAATAAACAGACTTTAAAAAAAAAATAAAGGCTCTCTGGGCACCGCGACCACGGAAAGCTCCGGGGACCAGCTGCCCCCTTGCTGGGTAGCTGTCAGGCCCGGCCGAAGTTAGAGCTCCAGGCCCGGGGAGCCTCCGCCCAGCCCCTACTTAGCCGAGACCGACGCTTTGCTGCTCGGCTCTGCCCACGCGGCCGCACAAAACACATTGGCGTGGCCGGGGCGTGGCCAAGGCTCGGGCCACGCCCACTCTTTCCCAATTCCTCTCCACTCCCTGCTTCTCATTGGTCGAGAGGATAGCCAATCAGCGCTCAGCTCGAGGTCCTACCCCGGGTCTGACTCGTAAGCTCCTGCCAAAACTTTGGGAGTTTTTAGAGGACTTTTTTTTGCCCCCCCTCCCAGTACTTCTTTTTTTTTTTTTTTTTTTAACTAACGGATTATTATTGTTGTTTTAAATTTAGCTCGAAGGGCTTAGCTGTTTGGGGTTTTCTTTCGGTGTCCCGTTTCCCGGTCTCCCCGACTTGGCCGGAGTAGCGGAGTCCAGGCCCCGGTTCGCCCCGCAGGCTCCTGCGCGCCCCGCGTCCGCCTCCACCCCGCGGGGAGCGCGGGCTCCGCGCCGCCTTTCAAGTGAAGCCAGGGGCCGTGGCGGGGATCGGCGGGGATCGGGGCCCGGCCTCCTCCCTCGGTGACGCTAGGGATCCTCGGCCTGTCTTTTGCCAGTGCTCACGGAGAAGCAGAGCGAACCGTCCGGGGCTGGGCCGCTGCCCCTCCCCGCGCACCCAGACAGCCACCCGCGCGCTCTGTCCCCGGGTCGAGTCCGGCCCGGGCGCGGCTGCCTGGAGGCTCACCCCGCCAGGATGTTCGCCGCCGGCCTGGCTCCCTTCTACGCCTCCAACTTCAGTCTCTGGTCGGCCGCTTACTGCGCTTCGGCCGGCCCGGCCGGCTGTTCCTTCCCTTTGGACCCCGCGGCCGGGAAGAAACCCTCGTTTTGCATCGCTGACATCCTACACGCCGGCATCGGGGATCCCGGGGCGGCTCCGGAGGGACTAGTGGGAGCCTCGGCCGCCGCCCTCACCTCGCACTTGGGCTCAGTTCACCCGCACGCCTCCTTCCAAGCGGCCGCCAGATCCCCGCTCCGTCCCACCCCGGTGGTGGCGCCCTCCGAAGTCCCGGCTGGCTTCCCGCAGCGGCTGTCTCCGCTCTCGGCCGCCTACCACCACCACCACCCTCCACAGCCACAGCCGCCCCAACCCGCGCAGACACAGCCGCAGCAGCAACAGCCTCCGCCTCCACCCCGGGCCGGCTCTCTGCAGCCCCCAGCCTCGGGGACTCGGGTCATCCCCCCCCACAGCGGCTCCACCCCGGCCCCTTCCAGCAAAGACCTCAAATTTGGAATCGATCGCATTTTGTCCGCAGAATTTGACCCCAAAGTCAAAGAAGGCAACACTCTGAGAGGTAGGTGTCCGGCTGCAGGCTGATGTAGGCCTCTCTGACCACAGCTCGGGCCCACTCCGTCGACCCCAGGCCACTCGGGTGTACTTTTGAGCTGTTTTCACGACTACGAATAAATCGGTGAAACAGAGAAGGAAACGAAGTGTGAGAAAACTACGAAACATTAAGTCTAAAGTTCACCTGTTTGATGTAACAAAAAAAAAAAATGTTGGTTCTAGTAGCGAGAGTCAACGTTTATAAAATGATCGGGGTAAATATTTTTAAAAATCGCCATGGCCTTTTGAAGCGCATAGCTAGAGAGAGAACTATGTTTTTTCTGATAGGGAACACTCTCTTTTCCATTTATCCAATTGCTACTAAAATTCCACCCAAAGAATGATGATAAACAACTGCGGGGGGGGGGGGCCGTCTAAACTTCAGGGGGGAGCACAATGGGGGTTCTCTAGCTGAGATAGAGGGGTCTGTGGAATGTTTGGAAGGCATTCAAAAGTGACACCCTTAGGGAAATTTTATGGAAGGCTGTTCCTTGCTATCTGGACTAAGCGGGAGGGTCACACCGGAATATTTTGTTTGTTGATCCTGGTAGCTGTTGGAAGTTAGGTTTTTATAGGAAGATAGGGAGTAGTCTGTTTTAAGTTCCATGAAGTACACTCTAATAAAGGGCTAGGGGAAAGGGAGAAACAAATCCTGTGGGGGAAATGTGCCTTTGCCAGCGTGTAACCAGCTCTTCCTGTCCTCAGATCTCACGTCCCTGCTAACGGGTGGGCGGCCTGCTGGGGTGCACCTCCCCGGTCTGCAGCCCTCTGCCACGGGCCAGTTCTTTGCATCTCTAGATCCCATTAACGAGGCTTCTGCCATCCTCAGTCCTTTGAGCTCCAACCCCAGAAATTCAGTTCAGCATCAATTTCAAGATACATTTCCAGGTAAGGAAAACAGTTTCAGCGGCCAGGTTTGAGTGACAGTCAGAAATCTCAGGACTGACACCGGCCACAAGTGGCAGCCACAGTGTCGCAATCCCGTCCTTGGGGCAAGGGCCCGAGAAGTCTGGAGAAAGCGAAAGATTTCTCTGACAGCTACCCTTTGCTTGGGAAGCTGGGCAGCCAGGGCAAGGAAGTGTGTGCCCACTGGTGGGCGTCCTGGGGTGGTCTGGCTTCCGGTAGTCTTTTCGTCTGAAACGGAGACAGTGGTTTGAAAATGAAGCATCACAAGGTGCTTCTTGTGAACTAAAATAGACACATTTTGGGATTGCCTCGAGCATTTTTTAGCGTGCCCTTCCACGTCTGCAAGTGTAGGCTGGTGCAGCTAAAATAGGGCTCCAAGTACATCATTCAGGTCCTAGCTACACTTTTGCCTATCTTCGCATGCACATTGGCTATACATTATTAGATTTAAGCATTTCCCTTGGAATGAATCCCCAAGCTGCCTGGCTTTTCCATCCCATGCGGGCTTAAGGCCTTTGGACCATGGGTCTATGAGCTTAAGAGCTTAGAGAATCCATTTGGGGTGTGTGTGTGTGTGTGTGTGTGTGTGTGTGTGTGTGTGTGTGTGTGTGTGTAGAGCTTTCAGAATGGAGGTGGAGCACAAAATATTTTTTTAAGTAGCTCAAAGAGCCTGGGGCCAGTAGGCTGCAGCATGAATGCTAACGTGGCTGTGTTGTATCCTTGGCCGGCAGGTCCCTACGCGGTGCTCACGAAGGATACCATGCCGCAGACTTACAAGAGGAAGCGTTCCTGGTCTCGAGCTGTCTTTTCCAACCTGCAGAGGAAAGGCTTGGAGAAAAGGTTTGAGATCCAGAAGTACGTGACCAAGCCAGACCGAAAACAGCTGGCTGCAATGCTGGGTCTCACTGATGCACAGGTAAGCCTGATTCCCAGAGGCTGGGCAGCAAGCTGGCTTGACACTGACCTCGCAGGCCTTTCCCATCCCACCCTCTCACCCCTGCAAAAGGCACTCAGGGTTTGTGGATCTAGGAACTTCAGTGGAAGGAGAGGAGGAGGGAGGAGGTGAGAGTGAAGTTTGAGGACAGAGTAGCCCATCCCTGTACATGTATGTCAGTGAGCACTACGTGTTTATTTTGGCCAACAGGCCATAGAACCACCGACAGAGCAAATAAACCAAGGGAAATGAAAATGATGCACTCCACTGGAGTGAAATTCATTGTAGGAGGCAATTTTATTTCAGATCAAAACCCAAAGGCAAGAGGTTGTTGGTTTCTTTCTTTCATTCGTGTTTTTTTTTTTTTTAAATTCCTCCTCCCACCCTCCTTCCTCCTCCTCCTCCTCCGTGGCTCTTGCTGGATTGTGAAATCCCCAGTTGTGAGGAAGTGAAAATATCATTTGAAACGGAATTGCTTAGCTCCAGTAGGGCCAGGAGTCTGCTCAGAGAGGCCACAGTCCAAGGTCTTAACAGTTTAGGCACTGAAAAAAGTCTCTGAGGGTGGGGAGCTGGGGGAGGTGGGAGATCGATAGGGTTGAGGGGGAGAAGCTGAGAGAAAGAATAAAGATTTTTCTTAGAATGCACATGAGCATTTCAGCAGGTGCTGCCAATTTGAATGTTCTTTTCAAGGCAATAGGAAATTGTGTGAATTATTGTGTCTGAATTAATTTGTTTTCCTTAAACTCGAGAATGACACTTTTCCATTTATTTTTTTCTTTGAGCTTTGAGGACAGAAGAGTCTCTCTCTCTCTCTTTTTCTACCTTCCTCAGCAGTGGCCCTTGCTAATTCCAAGTCAACTGTCTCTAGCAGGGCAGAAGCCAAAGCAGGCTTCTTTTTCTTGGTCTGCTGACTTCTGTCTTTGTGTCTTTCTGTTCTCCATTATACAACTCGCCTCCCCAGAACACACAGACACAGTGTAGAGGCCAGCCGTTTTTCCACCAGCTGTGGATGTTATTTTTAAAAGGGAAGCTGGAACTTGTGTGAAGGAGTTGGATCCTCCAGGGGGTCATATAGATTTATATAGATCCTCTGCTCCATCTCTACCCTCATCTTCCACTTTGCACACATCTAATTCCAGCACTTTCTGAGTCTCCCGGATGAGTTTATCCCTGGCAGGGGCAGGTTTTTTTTTTTTTAATCAAATATGCAAACACACCTTTTTGCTCTTTTACTGAAAGTCCAAGGGTGTTGCTGCCTCCCTGGAATTAACTCTTTCAGTCCCCTTTCCCTTCTTTCCCACCACCCTCCGTAAAAGGAATCACTTTTTAGCCAGGCTTGATGTTGCAGGCCTGTAATTCTAGTCCTCCTGAGACAGGGGCAGAAGGATCTGGACTTTGAGGCCAGCTTAGGCTACATAGGAAGACACTGGGGGGTGGGGGAAGGAAGGAAGGAAGGGGAAGGAAGGAAAAGAAAAAAAGAAGGAAGGAAAGAAAGAAAAGAGAAGAAGCAAGAAAAGAGAAAAATAACTTTTGCTGTGAGTAGTGGCAGAAGAGGAGAGTTCCAACTGAGGACAGGGATTTTTAACGGTTTACCAAATTCTAGATGTGTCTGCAGTCATGGGTATGTGTATTTTTTAGAATCAGGAGTCCATAACTGGAGTCAAATTCCTACAGAGGTCATGATTCAGATGGAGTTACAAAGCATCAATTTAGAGCAGAGAGCTTTAGATGGCTAGGATTAGAGTGTAGGAATCTGCCCTAGCGAAAGTCACCCTGAGGTCCGAGGGCCGTGTTTTGAGGATGGTAGGCTACACTTCCCTGGTGTCACTTGGCTCCTTGGATGAGTGTCTGGCTTTGGGCAGGGGCAGTGGAAGTGGTCAGCATGCTTCTCTGTGTCACGAGCACAAGGAGACTTTACTCAAGTCCGTGTTCCTTCTCTCACTACACAGGTGAAGGTATGGTTTCAGAATCGGCGGATGAAGTGGAGGCACTCCAAGGAGGCTCAGGCGCAGAAGGACAAAGACAAGGAGGCTGGTGACAAAACTTCTGTCGGAGCCCCCGCTGAAGGTGAACAGGAGGAGAGGAGTCCCAGCCGCTCGGAGGGCGAAGCGGAGAGCGAGAGCAGCGACTCCGAATCCCTGGATATGGCCCCCAGCGACTCGGAGAGGACTGAGGGGGCTGAGCGGGCCGTGCACCAGACCACGGTTATCATGGCCAGCGGCAGCGGCGGCAGCGGGGGAGGTAATGGCGGCAGCAGTTGTAGCTTCAACGGCGCCAGCAGCCTCAGTAGCAGCAGCACCAGCGCGGGCAGTGCCAGCAGCAGCCTTGGCTGTGGCGCTTCGGAGTTGCTCCTGACACCCCAGCCCATAGCCAGCAGCGCTTCCAAAACCCCGGAGCCTGCCCCAACCCCACTTGGAGGCTTATAGACTGGATGAGGACTGAGGGGACCCACGGAGGAGGAGGCCACCCTCCAGAACTGCGTGTCACCTCCACCACCATGTGCGGGCTGCGTTTTGTGCCTACTTTCTGATGACAGCTGTGCGGGCCAGAGACATTTTGTGGAGCCCCCCCACCCCACCCCAAGATGCTGGGGCCCACACTACCTGCCCTGGGGAGAGGGGCTGCTGGCTGGACAACGGCTCCATATTGCTTGTTCAGATTCTTCTCCCTGACACTAGCAGCTCACTGTGAAGTCTTTTGATGAAACCCTTCCTCCCCCAGGCACCAGGGGGTGGAGGCTAAAGACAGCTGCACTTAAGAGTCTTCAGTTGTAAATAAAATGTTTACTACTATTTGTAAAGGATGGATGGCTTGCTGCGGGGTGAGGTTCTTTAAGCCAAGAACCTCTTTACTAGGACCTGAGTTTCAGGACAGGGCTGGGGATTGGGCCTTGTGGAGCCAACTTGCCAAGTTGTCCCCCAGCCTCCCCTGGGGACTTAAAAGGTTCTGCTTAGCTCAAGGGTCCTGTCATAGAAGCAACCTTTCTTCTGCAGAGGGCTTTCCCAGCAATGGTGCCTATGTTCCCAATGGCAATGGGTGGCCCTTCAGAGGGTAGAGTGGAGAAGGGCAGTGGTGTGTGTGTGTGTGTGTGTGTGTGTGTGAATTCAGACTCTACCCTGCTCGAGTGGGAGTGGATGGGCTCTCCCAGCATAAACCACCCCATGCTCCGCGATGGGGTAGGAGCACAGGACAGCTCTCAGAGGAAAGGGAGGGATCCCGACAATGATTAGGTCTAAAATGCCAGGGCCCCAGTTTAGAAGAGGGCTAAAATCATTGCACAGCAAGGAGGTGATTTGTTGAATGTTATCCAGGCCTACATTTGGCCAGTACTAAATCTAGGAAACTATGCCCTACTTCCCCCTGCCCCAACTCTTCTGCAGCTGGAAAAGAGTACAGTGATTTCACCTGATGCCTCTTCTAGGCTGGGTGATTCAGTGTGTGTGTGTGTGTGTGTGTGTGTGTGTGTGTGTGTGTGTGTGTGTGTGTGTGTGTGTGTGTGTGTGTGTGTGTGTGTGACTCAGGGGCTAGGTACTGTCCCTTAGATCTTTTTTTTTCCCTCTTAAGCATAGGTGCTCTGTCACCTGAGCTACAGCTCCACTTCCGGTCTTTGATGGTTAATTGGAGATAAGAGTCTCTTGGGGGATGTCCCTGCTTGGTCCAGCTTGGAACTTTGATCTTCAGATCTCTGCCTCCTAAACTAGCTAGGATTGCAGACAAGAGCCATCGGCTCCAAGCTTTATATGAAGTCTTTTGCTGTCTGTACCCCCCCCCCTCTTTCTGGCTCCTCTTTCCCTGAAACAGTTGGGGGGGGGGGATTTTGAAACAAAAAGATATCTTGGACAAGTTTTAGCACTGAAAGGGAGCAAGGCACTGGGCCTCTCACAAATCTTAGCATCTAATCCCTGTCGCTGCCTTTTGCAACCTTGGGCTGTAGAAAAATACTGATGCTGGAGAACTTAGGACAGGCTTGGGTCTGGTTCCTGGCTGCTCCTGGGTCTTGCTTCTCTTCCCCCTCCACCCCCCACTTTGATACATTCCCTGGAACTCCTTTCAGAACCTTTGCTCTGGACTTCTGGCTCCAGGGTGGAAAAGAGGCCACCTTTATCCCTTTCCCTCTAGGTTCAGCCCCGTGCCTAAGGCAAATCCCGGAGGAGGAGTAAACACTGGATGAAAAATGAACTATTCTCTGCCTAAGCTGAGCTTTCAAACCTCAGAGGGAGCTGAACTCTTGGAAAGACTTAATGAAAAGTGGGGCGGGAAGCACTTGGGTTGTCCTGGGTAGAAGAGAGTAAAATAAAGCGCGCGCCGGCTAGGGACCCCAATTTAAACGGAAATTAGAGCTACCTGTTGTGTGTCATTGTTCCACAAAGAGTTTGGGGGTCACCAGCAGTTTTCCACCGGCCAGGGGCCCCCAGGCAGGGCTGGCGAGAGGATAGTTCTTTACAGTCTGTCTTGGGCTCTTCTGTCCACAAGCCTTGGCGTTCTGCCTGTACCTCCATTTTGCGCTCATTACAGAGATTCATTTCTCCACACTCCCCAGATACAGACCCCCCCCCCCCATCCCGCTCCCGAAATCTGGAGACAAAGTATTCCAAGTGCATTGACTTTTGGAGGCAATTACTCTCAGTTCTGGGGTTAAGACGCATAAGGAGGGGGCGCGTAGTGACCTCGTGGAGGTGCGTGGCGGGGTGCGGGGAGGGATGGGGGCGAGGGGGCTGCGCTGGAAGCAAACCCCTCAGATCGAGGCCGCAGGTCCGCGCCCCGCAGGCGTCCGCCGCCTTCCGACGGCCGCGGCTTTTCTTTTTGGCCCCTCAGCTCAGAAACAGGACAGCTCCGTGGATTGCAGAGTGCGATCCTGTGATTTGAGGTAGAGTTTCGGCCTCATCTCCAGCAGGTTCGCGCCCTCGCGGAGAAGGACCTGGAAAGGAAATAAACGAGGGGGGCAGGCACCTGGAAAGGGGGCTTTGGTGGAGTCAGCAGGTCGCTGTCCTCGGAGTCGGGACCCCTGCCTTTAGCCCCTCTCCCCCCCCCCCCAATTTCTGAACACGTTTCTGGTGAAACTCTCGAAGGGCTTCCCTCCCTAGCGAGTGGAAGTTATTTCACATTTTCACCCGAGACGTAATGTCACAAGAGCCGATGAAATTCGATTTATTTGGAAGCGCAGCAGCTGCGGGGCGAAGGAAGGAGGGCTTCTCTCGGGGAGGAACTGGGTGGCTCGGAGAAAGGGCTGAGTTTAGGGCTCAGAGCATAGTCCGGGTACCGCTTGGTGGGGCTCCGGCTTCTGGAATCTTCCTGGTGGTGCTCCTTGCTATCCTGGACAGCTGAGGTGTGCGGGGAGGCTTAGCGTGGCGGGGTCTGCGGACGCCAGGCCTCCGGACCCCGGAGCCGGGAGGAGGCAGGGGGAGCGAGGCCCGCCGCGGAGCCCAGGCCTGCCTCCCTCCCCCTTGGCACCAAGGAGCCCTCGCTGATCTAACCTGCTCTTTGCTCGGCTGTTCGTGGGGTCCTTGCAAGGCGCACCCCCCCCCCCTCCCGGTGAAGAATACCGAAGCCACAGAAGCACACCAAGGTAGGGCGATCGATCGTCTCTCGTTTCGCTAAGGGGAAAGAGAAGGGACCGAACCCACCACACCCGCTCTCCGCGCGTCTCACGGACGCGCACAAAAGAGATCCAGAAGCTCGGGCTCATTCAGAAGCTGGGGGGACGCAGAGGGAGGGGAGAGACGAGCACTTTACTGTCTGTTCTTAGCTTTTTTTCGGAAAAAAGCACAGACATAAAAGCTCAGTCCTCTTCCATATGGCTGAGCAACGTGGTGAGCCTCCCACTGTCTTGTTCGCAGAGGGGGGGTCGTTGTGGGTGGATGGCACGGCTGGGTCTCACTAGCGACAGCGTAGCCAAACCAAGCACTGAAAGGCAGCAGCGCGCCTCGCTCCCCGGCGCCGGGCCCGCCTCGGCCGAACAGGGGCAGGGATCTGGATGCCAGGGGTGTGGCACGCGGGCTTCCCAGTCCTTCCGGGACTTCGAGGAGAGACTCTGGCAGACAGGCCAGCCAAAAGAAATCACTCCTGGCCCTTCCTCCCACCCCTACCCCGTCGGAGGGGAGAAGAGGCAGTTGCTTCGACTCGAGTGGTCACAAATCCCCTCCCTGACTCCCTGTGAACGTCAGAGCGGCGGGAAAGAAAGCCCTGCTGCAGTGGGCTCTGGGCTCTGGCTGGTCTCCCTACCCCAGCTCTGAAGGCGGTGTTGGTGGGGCTACTAGCTGCAGCCAGCTCTGCAAGGTTAGGTAGCTCGTTTCTGGCTGGCTGCTGCTCTCAGGAACCAGCGTTCTCTGCACAGATCCTACAGAGCTTATGGGTCCGAAGAGGGTTTGCTGCAGTTTTTTTTCCATTTGAGCTTTTAGTCTGTGTATCTTTAACCTGCTCAGGGGTGTAATCTCACTTCTCTCCTGGCTGTGTGAATTTTAAACTGACTCCAGGTTAGCAGGGCGGGGCTTGGGGAAGGGGGATGGGGCGGGGAGGGACTCTAGCAACAAATGCAGCCAGCGGCTGAAGCGAATAAAGCTTTCTTCTGCTACACGGGGTATGAGAGTTATCACCTCCAACGTGGTCTTAAAAAAAAAAAGAAATGGAAAACCTGGTGGAGGGATTGCAAGCTCATCCCTCCTCATATGACACAATGACTCTGAAATAGAGTCAAGGAGACCCCTAAACACAAAGTGGCATAACTTGCTGGCTTTAGCCTAAGTGATCAGAAGCTGGCACACAATCCTCATTGTAAACATGCAAGTATTGGGTTTTTCCTTCCTTCCTTCCTTCCTTCCTTCCTTCCTTCCTTCCTTCCTTCCTTCCTTCCTTCCTTCCTTCCTCCTTCCCTCCTTCCCCCCTCCTTTCTTCCTCTCTCTTTTATTTCTTTCCCCTTCTTTCTAGTACTAGGGCTTGAGCCTCAGAGCCTGTGAGTTCTGTTCCTTAGCTTTTTCAAGCAAGTCTGGCACTCTACCACTTGAACCACACCCCCTTCTGGCATTTTGCTGTTTAATTGGAGATAAGAGTCTCATGGAGTTTCCTGCTGGCTTTGAACCTTGATCTTCAGATCTGAAGATGGTCTTTAATTGCAGATGTGTGTTGGGGGGGGGGGAACAGACTGGGATTTAGCATGTTTTGTTCACAGGCTCTGCTTTTTGTGTCACGGTAGAATTACCAAGGGTTCCCATGACTCTCAGGAGTCCAGACTGCAAGCGCATGGGGTGGGATGAACTTTCTAAGATATCCTTTCAAATCAAGTTCTAACAGAAGCATACTCCTCTAGAAGCACTGGCCCCTCCCTCCCCTCTTCTGGCTCAAAGAACTTCCGGTCCTTGGGTCCTTTGGCTACCCTGGCCCACCATTATTTTAGAAACAAAGATAGATGTTTCCACAGGGTGATAATTTCCAACACCCTCATTTTAAAGTTAACAGTGGAAACCCAGAGTCCTGAGGACATTTGCCTGAGGTCATCTAGAGACCCAGTGTTAGGACTAGCTTGGACCTTGAGGTCAGTTAACTTAAAGTCAAAGGAGGTGAGGGCATTCTCCCCGACATGTCTGGCCAATCGGATTTTTGAAACTTAGAGTTTTAAAATGAGTTTAGGAGGTTTAATCTTTGGCTCCAGAGGTCTGGGCTGGAGAGTTAGTCCTTATTTTTCCCATTGGTGGTCCCCAAACAAAATCTGTCTAGTAGTTCCAGGCCTGAGCCTCAGTGGTTAACCCTCCAACTTGCTTTGCCTTCA